CCCCGCCCCCCCGCCACCGTGAGTCTTTTCAAGAAAGAGTCAGGACGGTTCATTTTAGACTTCTTAGGAAAATCTTAATATTTATGTAGAATCAAGCTATGACCCTCCAACTACATCTCATTTTTGCTTTGAGGTAAGGTCAAGGTAATTCTCAATTAAGCTTATAGTCCCAGCTAAGAATTTTATTTCATGCTTGCTTGCTTGCTCTCAGATGTGGGCAAGTAGTAGATACTTGGTGATCTCAGAATTCTGTTAACTTAGCGGTGCCTGGGTGGCTCAGTCAGTTGAGCATCTAAATCTTGATTTCTGCCTAGGTCATGATCCCAGGGTCATGGGATCGAGCCCCATGTTGGGCTCAACATGGAGCCCACTTGGGATTCATTCATTCATTCTCTCTCTCTCTCTCCTTCCCTTCCTCCCTCCCATGCTTGCACGCACGCACTCTCTCTCTCTTAAATAAATACATAGTTTTAATTAAAAGTAAAGAATTATGCTAACTTAGATTCAGAAGATAACACAACTTGGAGGTCTAGACTCTAATAAACAAATGGTAAAATAGTAAATAAAGGATATTAGATGGAAAACTTCTTGAGGGCAAAAAGTCACCCTTGTGTGGTCCAATTCAACTGTCTCAATCTCTTGCACATGGTTGCGTGCCAGAACAAATCAATATGCGAACTTTTGGAAACTGTGAGCACTGTTCTTAGAGCAAATTATAAATAAGTCATTCCTCAACATGAATAAATGCCTTCCATATGACTCTTTGCCCATGTACTTATTATCTTCTAGGTAGTTCCCAGATGTGAGTTTTATCTCCCCTTACCTTAGTTTTTGAGGCCAAAGACCAGGTCTCCACTTTGACACCCATCACAGGGTCCAGAACAACCTGGGGCACAGAATAAGGGCTTGACTCATTATTGAGTGATTGTGTGATTAACAAACATGTTGATGGCCCATGTCCTCTGTTCTGCAGCAGGCCTGGCCAAGTGGGACCCAGCAAATCCTGCTTCCCCCAGCATGGCAGCAGCTGACCGGAGTGGCCACCCACACATCAGTGCAGCACGCGACTGTGATTCCCGAGACCATGGCAGGCACCCAGCAGTTGGCCGACTGGAGGTAAGCAGGAAAGCGCGTGTGTCTGTGTCCACGGCTCACTCGGAGAGCTGCCGGACTGGCCTGCGTTGTGAATTCTCTGGTTTACAGGGAACTTTTGAAATTAAACAGAGTATTAGGTGGGATGCAACTACGGTGCAATGAGGGTGAATTTTTAAATAAATGTAAATCAGCTTCATTACTTTATGGTCACTTGTCATTTTTGACCCCAAATTCAGTTACATCATTTGATCGCCGGTGTGATCCAGGGACCCGCATCTGGATGGTTCTTGGTTTGTTTCTCAGAATTAAATTCCACTCCCGGAAAACAAAGATTTGTCGGCAGTGAAAGAATGCGGAAGAGAGTCCCTGAGGCTCCTACGCGATTCTAGAAAGTGTTCTCAAGGTGTTTTGAGACATGGGCACACTGGAGTTGTATCTGCCCTCTCGGGGGAAAGCTGACAGAATGGGGTTTATTTGGAATGGTAAACTCTGGCATGTTTGCTGAACGTGCCTCTTCAGTTAATAGTCATAGCTGATAGATCAAAGTCCATTTTCCACAGACCCCAGAGGCACGTGCTGACAGCCACCAGCACACCAGAGCCCTGTATGTTTCCAGAACCCCACCCATCCCACTCACTGACTTCCTCACCAACACCTTGCTCTGTTGTTCTTATGGCCACTTTCCACTTTGTACTCTCCACCCACTCCGTCCCAACACCACCACTGTGCCCCCCGCACCGATGGCAGTCCCCAAGTTGTCTCCGGCTTCCCGTGGCCCTCTGGGCTCTCTCGTGCAGCCCGAACATCCGGCGTCTCTCCACCTTCCGACACTCTCCATACCGACCGTGGAGCCGCCTTGCAATTTCTTTTTGGATCTAAGAGGCTGTTGTGAATGAAGAGCGCCTGGTAAAACGAGGCGTGGAGATAGAAGCCCCAGGTCAGGCCTCAAATGAAGCTTCCTCTATTCCTCCACTGAATTTTCTGACTAGTACAAACAAGAGAGGACGCAGGCTCTTTCCTGCAGCCCCACTCACTTCCCACCGACAACACCCACCAAGTCCACCCCCACTCATTGGAAGCACTTTCAAACAAGGTAAAACTGGGTTCAATTCTGGCTCTGCATGATCCGAGTGAGGCCTTTATGAGCCTCAGTTTCTTCTTCAATACTGTGGGCATAACAATGCCTACCTCCCAGAACTGCCGGGAGGTTTAAATGAAGATAAACTGCAAAGCGCTTGACCTGTATTTAACACATATTATACTAGCACCTGGTACGTGACAGGCAGTAAATAAATCTGTTATCTTCCCTTCCCCCATTTACGCTGGTTCATGCTCAGAGAGATTGCCTTCCCTCTCCAGCTCATTAGGAACAGTGACCGAGTGGAAAGCTATTTGACCAATTGGTTTTTTCTCCCCCCCGCCTTTCTCCTAAAAGACCATACACATGCCATGCTACTTTTTTCCTTTGTCTTTCAGCGTTTATAACTCATTTAACTTCAGCAAAACTCACTTACACAGATTTTCTCATTCCTCCTCCCTCCTCAGCTCTTACCTGGTTACCACAGAGAACACTTAACACTTTCTTTCCAATCTCTTCTCCATTTCACGTGTGGGCCAAAGAACATGCACAGTCATGTAAACAAAAGAGAGAGGTACGGATCCTAGACTTTCCTATCAAAGGAAAAAGAATGCCATGTCCGTAGAAGAAATAGCAACAACACAGTAAAGAAGCCATAACATCTGTTTCTAAATGTAAATGTCCAAGACTCTATCAAAATCTCTACACAAGTACCTACTTACTTCTTTTTCCTTATTCATCCTTTTCCCCAAGTTGCAAAGATGAATTTTGTAGTATTTTTAAAATTCAAATGAAGTCTCCTTTAACTTTTCATCTCATTGTGTGATAAATGGGCTTTGATGGGCAAGTCTCTGAATTAATCACCACCTGTAATATTTCGTTGGGAAAACAACCCTCCGAGCTCCATACAACCCAGATCGTAAGAACTTTGAAAGACAACCGGCTTTCAGGATAATGGCTGCCAGCAGTACTTCTGTCGATAGGTGTCTCGTATTAACTCTGACTTAGTACCAAGTTCCATTCACATCTCGTCAACCTTCAGTTAATCTAATTGTTCATTCAGCAAGCATGTCATTAACTGATCAGCTGCTACACGCCTGAGCATTGTGCTAGCCACGGAGAAAATTCAAAAGAATGTTAACACTTCCAAACAGCAGAAACCTACGACTCCTGGTTTCCAAAGCTGTTTTAACAGAAACGACAAATTCCTTGTTTGTAAAGTGGTATTACAGTATCCTACCTCACAGAATGCAAGAACCCATTTAAAAGCACTTGTAAATTCTAAAATAAAATGCACAGTGCAGTCATCTGTTTAGGGACTTTAAAAGGTAGAGGGGATGGTTATCTCCTCTCCGCTGAACCTGTGACTTGCCAATTCTTCCCCCTCGAAACGACCTCTTTCTCACTTACCCACAAATCGTGTTGCTGCCCACTCCTTCAGAACAGCACTTAAACTTCACCATACCTGGGAGACCTACCTGGTGAGCTCATCTCTTCAACAACTCCCTGAGCTAGTGAGAACCAACTTTTAGTTTTAATTTGGCTTTTAATCGGGGAGGAAGCTTTATCTTAAAAAGAAGCTCCATATTTATAAAATCAATAAAGAGCCTTGTTTCTCCCATCTCCCGCTCAGGAACACCCACGCTCACGGCAGCCATTACAATCCCATCATGCAGCAGCCTGCGCTATTGACTGGTCATGTGACCCTTCCAGCAGCCCAGCCCTTAAATGTAGGCGTGGCCCACGTGATGCGGCAGCAGCCAACCAGCACCACCTCCTCCCGGAAGAGTAAGCAGCACCAGTCCTCTGCAAGGTAGGTGGTGGGAGTTGCCCTTGAGGAGAAAAACTTCAGAAGATTGCAAGTTACAGAGATGTTTTTTAAGTTTTATCTATTTATTTTGAGAGAGAGAGAGAGAGAAAGCATAGAGCAGGGGAGGGGCAGAGAAAGGCAGAGACAGAATCCCAAGCAGGCTCCACAATGTCACCACAGAGCCCGATATGGGGCTCAAACTCACCAACCATGAGATCATGACCCAAGCCGAGACCAAGAATCGGACGCTTAACCGACTGAGCTACCCAGGCACCCCAAAATGTGCTTTCTTTGAAATCTGAGGTCTAAGGTAACTCATTTAGCTGCTTCCTGAATTATAAGCAATAACTTTGGTTAATCCTAGGCATTACCAGCAGAATAATCTTACTCATTCCCTTTCAATTCAGTCTCATTTCAATGAACTCTTAAAAATCAAGGCAGAGAAAAGGCCACATACTGCATGATCCCATTTATATGGCATTTTGGAAAGGCAAAAGCGGATCAGGAGTTGCCAGGGGCTACTGGGTGGGCGAGGAGGGGGATTGACAAGGAAAAAGCATGAGGGAACTTCCCAGGGTGATGAAAAAGTTCTCTGGGTTGGCAGAGGCAACATGTACATTTGTCAAAACTCATCAAACACTTACAAAGGGTGACTTTGTGTGTGTGTGTGTGTGTGTGTGTGTGTGTGTGTGTGTGTGTGTGTATAGTCAAAATTGTGTGGCTGCAGAATTGCTTCTACATCTTTCTCCAGCAGCACTGACTTTGGAGGCCCTTAATTGTTTCTTTGGAATAGGTTAATCAAGAGAAAGAAGTCCAGTACATAAAATGTCTAGTGAATTTTGGTTTTACTCCCTCATTTAACCGGGGGCCAGATATTAGGCCTATGTTTTTTGTTTTTTGTTTTTTTATTATTCTCCTCTGAAGATTAACCCAAGAGCTGACTTCCTCTGAGTTGTCATTCTTCTTCAAGATTCCTTATTTGGGTGTTTCTGACAACCCACAGAAATCCATCTCAGATCTGAGGCAGCTCCGTGACAATGCACCCAGGTCGTTATTAGACGGGGTGGCAACGGAGGCCACCGCCTCAGTCCTTTGCTCTGTCATGCCCAGCCGTGTGGGTGGTCACACGGAATACCAGCCTGACCCTGTGCTGATCTTAGCACCCTCATGGCTCACCTTGGCAAGCGGGGGCAGTAAGAACTCTTAGCCTCCCAACCTGTTGACAAGCCCCTCCCTGTTGTCAAGTCACCACCCAGCTGGCTTTATGACGGCTTATTGCCAGTGCTTCTCAAGATCGGTATAATTATACTGAAAGTTTTGTATTTGCCTATTTTTAAGACCAATGCCTTAGGCAAAACAGAAGGCTCTCCCTTGTTGGGCGGTGCAGCCAGGCTCCCTTTCCTTTCAACAGTGCCAAGTGGAGCTATTTCAACTGCTGGGGTAGTGAAAACATAATCTCAAAATTGTAACAAAGCAAGCAGTAACAAATGTATAGGTTTATGCTGACTACAAACAGTGGGCCAATGCTATCGGTAAAAGTTAGCGCCCACCCCCCAGAAAGGAACAAGCAACATATCTGACACCAGCTAGATAGAAAATTAAATAAATCTACAGAATTGTTTTCGTCTTCCTGCCTTTTAGCTAGAAAGTGCTAGAACCTGTAAGGACATACCAGGATCTTCAAAAGTTTCTTTGGCCTCTCACTGTACAGATACGACTGAGGTCGGCAAAGGTTGGTGGGTGGGGAAAAGATAAGGCGTTTCCCCAAAGTTACCAGGAACCACAGTTGCCAGTTTGTTAAGGAATTTCGAGTCGATCAAAAACTCCAGATTAAAAGGTCCCTGGTTAAGTACACCTTTTCCTCCTGCATCCTGCCCGGCTTTTCATTCCAGCTCAAACAGACGGGTAGACTTCCTAGGAGGCTGGTGTTTGCGTTTCGTGCATGGCAGAACAGCCATTAGCAAGGACACCAAAGCTTTATGTGGCAAATAACATTTCTTTCAACTCCCTTCAAAACAAGACCCAAGTACCCGACCAGAGAACCACCAGATGGAGCTCAGGAAGCCAGGCCTTGACCCCCCGAAGACGGGGCTGCAGTGGAGCAGACAGCCCTGAGGCCCAGGGCACTGCACCCGCCCCCACAGACCAGCCTGGTCCTTGAGCACGAGCTTAAAGCCCTGGCTGCTCCCTTTGTCCTGCTGGGAACAGGCACGTGGTCCCGAGAGCCAGAGCCCAGACAGGGCCATCTGTGTAGCAAGTAACCGAAAGAAAGAGCTTCAGGGGCAGCCGCTTCTGCAATTACAGAAGACACCCGAGTGCCCGAGCCTCCGACTCTTGAATGGAGATCGGGCAAGGCTGGTGTCTGTGGACCTCCTCGGGAGGAGCCGCGGGGCCCGGCCTTCCTCCGTGAGCGTGCGTGGCTTTGTCGTTACAGAAACGTCTCCACCTGTGAGGTGTCCTCCTCGCAGGCCATCAGCTCCCCTCAGCGGTCCAAGCGCGTCAAGGAGAACACGCCTCCGCGCTGCGCCCTGGTGCACAGCAGTCCCGCCTGCAGCTCCTCCGTCACGTGCGGGTGGGGCGACGGGGCGTCCAGCACCACCAGGGAGCGGCAGCGGCAGACGATCGTCATTCCCGACACCCCCAGCCCCACGGTCAGCGTCATCACCATCAGCAGCGACACGGACGAGGAGGAGGAACAGAAGCATGCGCCCACCAGGTGAGGCTGTGCCACCTTCGGACGCGTGGGAGGGAGCAGGGCGGGGGCGCGCCGGGTCCTCCGTGGGCCCGGGCCGCTGTCCATCGTCAGACGTGATGAGCTCTGGCTCCTGACCCCCAAGTTTTGGGCTTGTCGTGTCCTAGAGTCCTGAAGTGATGTCAAGGGACCATCAAACAGAGTTTCCATAATTGTTCAATGCCAAAACAATCCGGAGTCACTTTGGTCTCGAAAAATAGTTCTAGTCTCCATACATTTGGGCGACTTGAGACCAATTGTGCACAACGCCAGTGTATCTAAAGTCCTGTGTGAGCTTAAACATCTCTGCCTTGGGCTGTTGAATTTGTTCCCAGTTGGTCAGGATATTTCTCTAGCACCGCCTTGGCTCTCTCGGAATTCGAAATCATTGTCCAATTAATCAGAAATTTCTCTGTGTCTGATTAACCCAATCTTTCAAGCTGCCGGTTGGCTCTTCACCCAGAGAGCGTTACTGTTTATTCCAAAGTAGTAAGAACTCCTTTCATGCTCTGTATGCCTCCTGGGAAGGGGAAAGGAATATTTATTATATTTGCAAGACTATTAACCCTGGCACCAAAGCCTCTTTTCTACATTTTCCAGCCAGACTTCAGCAGGGTGCGGTTTGTACTTGGGCTGCCTGATGAGCCCCTGGAGCTAGCCCCTCCAGAACAGTTGGTCCCCTGGCCTTCTGCATCCCCAGGGGCCTCCGGGCCTCGTAGATCCCAAAGGCTCGCAACCCCAACTCCGACCCGCTGGCCTCTCCCGCTGGGACCAAGGGTCGGGGATGGGAGGAGGCCTGTCACCGCCGAGCCCAGCGCTTCTGGTCAGCACATACACCGCTCCCTGATGCGAAGCTTAACATTCACAATTCGGCCCCGGTTATTCATTCCTGATTGGTACAATGTAACTAATTAGTAATCACCAGTCTTCTTGATTAAATAATACATTCCCACACTTGAGATCATTACCAAATGTACAGATAGACTAATTAAAACAGTCTCACTATAGCTGTTCCAGTCCAGGCTCTCCCCTTCCTGTCTTCATAATGAACTCTATTTTGTTTTGTTATCTCATGATAGACCTAGTACATGTCCCATTCCAGTATCCTCCTTCCCCTCTTAACGTCTCAGCGTGGCCTTCAGTGTGTCTCAGAAGAGAATATAGTGGAACACTTCTGGGGCGGGGGAGGGGGGCACTGGGGGATGCCGTGGGGGGTGGGCTGCACTGGGGAGACCGGACGCAGTGTTTCACTCCCCACCTGCCTGTTCCGGGACTGGCCTTGGTTTCCCTTTTTGATAACAGCCCCCAAGTTGAGTCAATACTCTGTCCTCCCCAGCGCCTCGTGCCTCACAGCCCAGGAATGTCGTGGGCTCAGGTGGTCCCATCACAAAGAGAAAGGTTTTTCCCAGCCCGGAGCGGTCTGTCCACACGTTTATAGCATTGGCCATAAAACGGGCCAAGCAGCCCCCACACAGCCCTTTGCTACAACTGGGAAAAAGAAAAAGCAATTTAAAAATCTGACAATCAACTAGATTGGACTATCGTTTTTGAAGTATGAGATTCGAACTGACACAGAATCTCAACATACGTGCTCAGGAGAGAATTGAATAGTGTGTCTAAGGAAAAGCAGGATGAGAGAGCCGTCTCTCCACCAATCAGACGGCTGCCAGGGCTGAGCACAGCGCCAAGCCAAAGCACAGACTGCTTCCGCGGTGGTCCCCAAAGCCCCAGAAAGAAACAGAACTGAAATTCTTGGCAGCGTGCAAGGACCTTGTTGTAAATCAGTTGAGACCTAGGGGAGGGCATGGAAGGAGACCGTGGCAGGTGCACGCGTGAGGAACAACCACCAGTAGTGACGGTGGCCTACCGAGCATTGGAGCTTCATAAAATGAAAAATGCAGGGGACTGCCTGGGACGTTACACCACATGGGGAAAGCTGCAGAGTGAGGCCAGAGAGGAATCGGGAAGGGTTCCAGCGGTTGGCAGTTGTGACAGGAAGCTCGCAGAATGAGGGGATGGGTGTTTTCTGGAGAGATCAAATGACTGTTGCCTTGAAAAAGTGTCTCAAGACCCAAGAAGACAGGAAAGTGTATTTAAGTCTGAGTAGGATAAAACAGAACCCCATAGCTGTTTTATTTATAGACAAACCACTGGATAATGTGATCACATTATTGTGACTGTGTTTTGGAGTGAGAGAAAAACGGAGAGGAAATATGATTACTCGTTCTTAAAAATCAGAATTACCATAAAATTTAACACAGTAAATATTTATTGCCCCCACCAGTGTGAGAGATCATGCTAGGAACTGCAGGCGTTACATAAATAAGGTAGACAGTCTCTGTCCTCAGGAGGTTTGCAGGGTAAGAAGCAAGATAAGACACGTACAAATCATAACACAAAACGGAGTATCAGTCCTGTAAAAACTAGCAGAGTGCTGTGGACATTCAAAGGGAAAATAGCTTGGGAAAATAGCTTGAGAAAATAGCAGGAACAGCGGACTTTCTGGGGTCAAAGGTCCAAAGGGTGTAGAAAGAGAGGGGGTGAGATTGCAGATTCCAGGAGGTCAGTGGCAGGCAGGGAAGCTGGGGCCTCAGAGGTGGGCTCGTAGGATCCAGAGCGCAGAGGGGCCGCAGATCAGAGACAAAGCAGAGGCAGGGACGACAGGGATTTCCGAATGGAAAGGGGATTTGAGGGTCTCCCCTTCAATGGAGGTGGTCGACTTCAGGAAATACTAAGGAGCTCACGGGAGAGCACCAGTCTTGGGAACACAAGGATGTGCCCCCAAGGGCAGCCCGTCGGGGAGCCTCTTGGCCTCCCTCCAGCTAGAAGCTTTTCTTGCCTGTCTGTGTTCCCATTTGAACACTCAAGATTTCCCTGCTCGTTCCCAAACCTGATTTCTCCTGTGCTGTGAGCATCTCGATCCTGAGCTGCTGTGTTCCCGACCTCGTTTCCTGTTTGCTACTCACCCCAGGACCAGCCCTGGGACTCTGTCTAAAATGCTCACTGCTTCCCCTAACGTGACTCAGCCCCCGTACAGCAGCCAGAGGGTGAGGGGGCCGACGACGCTCATAGAGACGGCGATCATGGTGGCACGTGGAGGCCCTTCCACCACCGGCGTCTTTTAGAGCCGGTACGAGGCACACAGTGGCGAACCCACGGTGTTAGGCCTATTTGAGGGTGTCACCAAGTCTCTGGGACCAGAGGACATTGCCTAGAATTTTTAGGGGAACGCAAGGCAAAGTCACTATTCCAGACCCCCGTATTTGACGCTGTTAGTTGCCAGAGCAGACGGATGGTCACCAGCTCCTACCTGTGAGGAAGGTTCCAGAGCACGAGGTGCAGGCTGGGAGTGAGCCGATTAAAGGGGAGGGAAACCATGACACACATTTACTGAGTGTTCCCATTTGCACTGTCCTGTGTGTCTTTCAGTAGAGTATACAAGGCAGGTAGTTCTACTCCACTCGATAGATGAGGAAACCAAGACCCAGGAAAGATAAGTGACTCACCCCGATTGATGACGTTTCTGAGGAGCACAATTGGAATTCGGGTCCCGTGCCGTGGAAGACACGGCAGTCTCGGGTTACTGGCAAAAATAACTGATTTCTCTTTGGTTATGAACTTGACCAATGTGAACTCTGTCCTGCCCCCTCCTCTGACCACCCCCACGCGGTCATGCCCGCTGTGTGCAGGGCAGCAGCCCAAGGCTATGGGGGGTCCAGAGTCTGTCCACCGAGCCCCGACTGGGTACCCGGTGTCCGTCACAGTGCTGAGCTCTAGCAGCAAGAAGGGCAGAGGTCAGCTCTTCTGATTCTTCGAGAAGACGTTTTAAAGTGAGGGGACCGACAAAGACCCGGCAGCCTGCTTTTTCTCAACGAGTGGCTGCTGGACTAGGGGGCTCCTGGGGCACGGCTGGAGAATTGTTGTAAAGATAGAAAGCACACCAATCTGCAGTTTTTCTGGGTGCCCTGAGAGAAAGTCATAGAACCAGTCTTATTTTAATCATTTATAAATGATTTTGATTAGAGGAACATTTGACTGTATGTGCTGAATAAGCCATCTTCTCTCCCTGGAAATCTCCTTGAACGAAGTTTATTGGTGCCTATCTTATTATTCAGACTCTTTGCTAACCTTGCCTTGTGCTGAAACTGCCCTTTAGAGGCCGTATCACACAGGCTTCAGTCATGAGGATAGTTTTTTTTTAAGAAGTTTTTTTTTGAGTTTATTTTTATTTATTTTGAGAGAGAGAGACGGAATCCCAAGCAGGCTCCTCACTGTCCGTGTGGAGCCCGATGCGGGGCTCGATTCACAAACCGAGATCATGACCTGAGCCCGAGTCAAGAGTCGGACACTTAACTGACTGAGCCACCCAGGCGCCCCACGAGGGTAGATTTTAAAATGTGTGATCAGAGTGGCTCATGTCGACTGATCAGCTAGAAACCATTCCTTCATGTATTCCTTCATTCGGTTACCGGGATATTTCTGGTAGACAGGTTTTCATCTCCTGAGGTCAGCAGGGCTCTGTGACGTCCTGCATCCCTTTGTGCATGTAGGCAGCCGCTCCAGAGTATTACCACCGGTGTCACCAAAATGTAAACTTTAAGAAAGTTGCTTCATTAACATCACTCAGTATTTCAGATAGGGATCACTCTTAAAATGTTTGTATAAAAACTATTTGACCCTAAATGTTCTTCTTTCCACTAAATTGCAATTCTGGACCCATAACTGCAGACAAAAGGCATAGTCAGGACACCGATAAGCTGCTGCTCAAAAGAGTTGGGCCTGAAAGACTGACGTGTACTTGGCAGAGGGGAACACCCACACTCAGGTGTTACCAGCCAGGCGGAGCCACCCCGAGGTGGACCCCACGTCCTTGGCCACCTGCAGCCATACCACTCCTCTACTCGTGCTCCTGGTTTGTGAGCCTCAGAGAAGAGACCGGAACCCAACATGTGGCATCATGAGAAGGGGCTTTGTTGTTTTGCAGT